CTTCATTCTCTCCATTTCAAAGTGAGTACTGTGACTAAAGAGCTAAAAATTGCGTTTTTGCTGTAAATGAAACCATTCCTCACTGTCGTGTTCGCGTCGCATGCGGACTCGAAAATTTGTGGTCATACTAAGATGTTCCGATGACAAATGATCATCATTGTTCGAAGCTGGTCAATACCGATCTTTTTAGAAAAGGAGTCGGGAGTATGCCGTTTAGAATGCTTCATAGTATTCGAATGTATTCTATTTGAATTCGGAAAAACAGTCCGGATTCTAAGTAGAATATTCTGGGTGTACGTCGCGCGTGCTTGAATAACTCAGGATATTATTGTACACTCCACGTGTGCCTATCCGTATTCGGGCAAATTCGGTCGCGAATATGTGCCTTTTTGCGCAGTGTTTACAGATAAATGTTCTCTTACCACCCTAACATCTTAAGATTCTATAGAAAAAGCACACATTATTAAGGTTTTAGAATGAGTACTGTTGGTGCGTACTGTTTAGCTATATATGCAAATCAGTTTAAAGTAAACTCGCTTGTTTACTTAGTTCGTGACAAATATCACGCAACATAATTTTTGTTGGCAAATAAACACATAGAAATATTAGCAACACTTTCAAACAAAGGATGATCTGGTACAATTCTCTAGAAGTCAGCGAAAAAATGTTTTGCCACGAACAAGGTGTAATATGAAACAACCCCTTTTTTCTTACATCACAATTGCATTTATAGCTCCTGCTGGCGTATTTTTTTGTTGTACAAATAACAGCGAGGGCTATTCACATGGCTTAATATTTTTTCACGGCCGTTGTAGCTCTCTTTTGGAAAACGTTATTTTCTCTACGAAGCCTACTGGACTTTTTGACATTCGTACTCATATTGCTGAGTACTGGCGACTGTAATGTTGACATGTCTGAGCAAGTTATTATCCACGACTCTAGCCCTTTGGCCTGCCGAAATTCTTACTGTGTACACCATAATGTTAGTAACTCGTTGCTTCCCTTAACCATTTTCGGACGTGAGTCTTGTTTAAAGTTATGTTATCCTTTGGAATAAAGCACGCGCAATGAGATTCCACAATTTCTGTTGTATATCATTCGTTTTAGCGAATTCTTAAAACACGTACAGAAAACTCCGAAAAGCTGGGAAAAGGTTTGTTCAATTACGATCTTTCATCAGAATCCAGAAAAGCACTCTTACAGGCCTGAAAAACCTTGCAAACTGCCTTTTTTTCTTCCCCCCTCTTTTCCAGACATGTCTGAATCCCGGTTTTGGGGAAAAAAGTAGGTTTTCTTTATTTTTCCTACGCTTTTTAGGTATTTTGGAGACATGTAGGTGATGACACGCAATAGTAATGACCTTTGATACTATTTTCTCAACACAGCAAGTTTGTACAGGGCAATTCCCTGTTTATCCAAATCGGGCCCACTCCCCCAAACTGGAGCCGTGTACAGCCGAAAAGTTGGTCAGGCACGATGTTTTGAGCATCGCGCACAGTACTCGGTAGCAAAAACAGAGTGTGTTATCAATATTCGCTGCAGATTCATTAAGGAAACACGGCTAAGGTATATTTCAACCAAAAAGTAATTGCATTTGAAATAATATGTGTCAAAAAGGTCATCCTGTAAAGTGAATACATTAGTACTCACTTCATTCAGTAAGGAAAAATTATCGTGCTCTTCCTTCTCTCCATGTCAAAGCCCCCGGGGTTCAAAGTGAGTACTGTGACTAAAGAGCTAAAAATTGCGTTTTCGCTGTAAATAAAAGCATCAAAGGATGTATTTACAGATACATTTTCTCTTACCATCCCTAAGATGCTAAGATTATATAGAAAAAGCACACATTATTAAGGTTTTAGAGTGAGTACTGTTGGTGCGTACTGTTTAGTTATATATGCAAATCAGTTTAAAGTAAACTCGCTTGTTTACTTAGTTCGTGACAAATATCACCCAACGTAATTTTTGTCAGCAAACAAACACATAGAAATATTAGCAACACTTTCAAACAAAGGATGATCCGGTACAATTCTCTAGAAGTCAGCGAAAAAATGTTTTGCCACGAACAAGGCGTATTATGAAACAACCGCTTTTTTCTTACATCACAATTGCATTTATAGCTCCTGCTGGCGTATTTTTTTGGTGTACAAATAACAGCGAGGGCTATTCACATGGCTTAATATTTTTTCACGGCCGTTCTATCTTTTGGAAAACGTTATTTTCTCTACGAAGCCAACTGGACTTTTTGACATTCGTACTCATATTGAGTACTGGCGACTGCAATGTTGACATCTCTGAGCAAGTTATTACCAGGTTTATACTAAAGCATGAGAAATTACTGCAATTTGATTGGCTTAGAGCAGTGTTATTTCAGCTTAATTTGAAATACCTACATCTGAAAATTACAAGCCTTTTGTGTGTAGTAGTATAAACAAATAATAGCATGATTTGTACGTGATATTTGGCATAAACACCACTTGTGATATTTCAAAATTGTCTCAAATTTCACTCGCCTACCGGCTCGTGAAATTACGTATAACAATTTCGAAATATCACTCGTGGTATTTATGCCAAATATCACCACAAATTTATGCTATTACCTATACAAATGACTTCGTGCTTTGTCATATATCCACCACTCTAGCTCTTTGGCCTGCCGAAATTCTTACTGTGTACACCATAATGTTAGTAACTCGTTGCTTCGCTTAACCGTTTTCGGACGTGAGTCTTGTTTAAAGTTATGTTATCCTTTGGAATAAAGCACGCGCTATGAGATTCCACAATTTCTGGTGTATATCATTCGTTTTTAGCGAATCCTTAAAACATGTTCAGAAAACTCTAAACTGGGAAAAGGTTTGTTCAATTACGATCTTTCATCAGAATCCCGAAAAACACTCCTACAGGCTTGAAAAACCCTCAAAACTGTCTTTTTTCTTCCCGCCTCTTTTTCAGACATGGAATTATGCAAATTACCTTTCCTGCCGAGCAAATTAAAGGTCATTTTAAAAAATTCATATCTCAGCCAACTTTCCACAGAATGCAACCGTTAAAACATTAAACTATTAATCAGAGTAGAAACTTTTGTGTGTAAAATAATTAGCTTATTCGGCTTTGTAAGGTAGGTTTGACAGAGCCGTAAAGTTTCAGCAAAATCGCAACTCTTCCGACGGCAAACTAGCCAGTTTTCAGTCACCTACAAAATCTTCCTGTAATACAGAGAAAAAATTGAATGAAATTGATATTTCTTAATGGGAAAGGATAGTTATATTCCACTGAAAAAATCTGGGCAATCCGTGAAACACCGAAATTTGCCTTATCGGTTCTTACGCGGACAGCTTCTTAAATGTGATCAAACGTGATTGCTATTTTTTGGATGTACATATAAGGCCGTTAACTTGATGTAAGATTTGTTCCATTCCTCAATAATTATTCTCTAACATCGCTTAGCTTTTCCCTCACAAGTCGTATTACACGTTCGCTAAAGTTAATTGATTTGTGGGTTACAAGTTTTTGTTTGATTTAATCTATAGATTTAGCCAGGGCTAAAAGCGAGGCTCCCATTAATAAATTTATAATTTAAATTAACCCTATTCAGACTGGGGGGGGCTTTTCGAACCCCCCCTCCGGCAAATTCGTGATAACTCCTACACCGAGAGAGCTATGACGTTCAAATTTTCTGACTTTTCCTAAAATTTATCTAGGAACATTTTGGTATAATTACTATGTCCATGTGATTAATCATGTTGCCATGGCAACCAGTTTCTGACACATAGGTTTTGGAACATTTAAAAAATGGTGATTTTTTTTGTTTTAAGATCGTGTTTTTAGACTTATAGTGCTTTTTGTTGTTAAAATGGTCTTTGCTTGGGACTAGTTTTTGAATTACATCGAAATGTTTCAACATCGAATATTTGGGGGGGAGGGTGGGGTAAAATTTGTCACTTTTTTGCTTTGACAAATATGCTGCTCTATTTTCCAAATAACACTTTTAAAGTCATTTGTTTGGGTAATAAACATTAGTTTGATACTTCTTTTATACATTCTGAGCTTTTTCCCCTTTGAAAGTTGCTTTAAAGTGCTACTACGATCAAATTTGGGAATTTGTTTTTGATTACATATTTCGAAAATGTATGTAAAAGTGACTTACCTTGCCAAGTTTGGAGTCCAAATATGATCTGGAAGTGTGTTTATTTGCACGGCAATTTTCGTAAATGTCTTGCCGCCATTACTCGATTCAAAAAATGACCGGGAGTAGTATTTGAAGGAGTTGGGGCGAGATGTGACGTAGAAAAATCAACGCGACAAAGCAAGGTAAACAAACATGGCTAATTTCGCATGCAGTACGAGATATTTTGGAAGCTTTTGGAAGTTCTTTCTTCGCTTTTTTGACTTAAAGCGAAAGTATGCCTGGTAGACGTTGTGTTGTTCAGGACTGTGGAAACGTAAAGAACGATGAATTCTCCTGATTCGGGCAGCGTTAGATTAAAGTGGAAAAGGTTCGTGTCCATTCATCGGAAGGATTTCAACACAGTGGGAAAATTTGCTGTGTGCTCGGAGCATTTTACAAGGGATTGTTATACGCTTGCTTTTCCGATGAAAGGCATGAAAAGGAATTGGAAGAAGGGGACGTTTCCAACCATTTGGAAAAAATCCTCTCAAACACTATCAAAGCGGAGTCGACGATCGGTGAGTGAAATTACAATGTATTTGCGCTGTGCTTATCACTATTATATTTATTTCCCCATTTACCTGTGACATGATTTTTTCTGGCATCGTTGTTCAATATGAATGCTCTGACTATTTGGACTTCCCATATTGTTGCATGTGTTTTCATACTTTTCTGCTTTCTTCTCATAGTTATAGTAAAACGGGAATTTGCGCTGAGTGGACGTGAAGTCAATTCCCCAATTCCCAGACCTTTCCACTCAAGCGTAAAATTTAGAAAAAGTGAAGCTACATAGAAATCCGGCTCTCTATTTTTTGAGAGATTATCTTGCTGTTACTTTGAGATTTGACAGTACTCCAAACTTCCCTCCAAGAAATCTTACAGCAAATTAGGAGTTACACGCGAGTCTTTTAAAACGACCAAAAATGGACTTAGTCTGATTTCTACATTCTATAAGTTTCAGTTACTGTTTTTTTTTCGTTTGTATTTTAATTCTATTTTCACTGTCTGCAAATGATGCATACATTTTAAGTCAAAGATGCAGTTAAACCTTGCTTCCATTTCTACTTTTGAAAACATCGACATAAAGCTCAAATTTAAACTTGTTTTGAAGGGGAGATATAAAAAATGGTCCTACCTATTTTCATTTTTAGCTACTAAATGAAATTCTGGCTGGTCAAACTACTAATGAGGATACAGAGGAAGAAGACAATCCTGAAGAAGAGGTGATGTCTTTGAAAGGAAGTTCTGCACCTAAGGAGAGTGCTGACACTATGGGGGCTCCCAATCTCAACCCTGAGGAGTCTCCAGAAGTCGAAGGTGTTCTGAACACAAGTCAGGGTTCTTTGCTTGAGGTAAATCCTGAAAAGGAGGACTGCATCCCTGAGACTGAGACGGGTGAGATAAGTCTTGATGCTGAGATGGCTTCAGAGGTCCTAGGTACTCCTGGTGATAAGACAACTCTCGAGAGCCAAGGGATTTCCGGCACTGATGATGTTACTGAGACCATGCAGATCCTGGAGGCTCAGGGAATCGAAAAAGTGCAGGATATGGATAAGTTATGCAGATTGATCAATCATTAGCGATTCCTGAACTTGAACAGGTTTCTATGGTAGGCGCATAACTCTAATTAATGTTTATTTGCATCTTTGTATTATCATAACAATGGAAAACTACATGTGCAGTTATTTTACAACAATACTAAAACACAAAAATTCTGAAGTCTTGTTATTACAGCCTGTATTAATGTTGAAAGTTTGTTTTCTGTGGGATACTCCAACTGGACATGCTGGGAACTGCACAACATGCAAAACCCTGAGGAGTGAGGTGACTCAGTTAAGGGGCAAAGTCACAAGACTGAAGAGTAAGTTAATCTCCAATCAAGATCAGTGGGTTGAAACCTTTAAGAGCATACAAGTGCCGGAGCAGTTGCTGATGGTGAATGCTGGTGAGTCAACAATAATTGATGTTGATGAGTCATATAGGCATAACTGCCTATCTTTATATTTTTATTACATTTTATCAATATTTGATTATTTCATAATAATTAAAATTTTAATGGTGATAGAATTTTTTTAATTCCATTTGTTTAAGCTATTCAAACTGATCCATGGCCAGTAACAAATGAGACAGAGTTAGGGCTAGAGGATGAATCAGAAGATGAGCAGGAAATGCAGGACGACGCGTATGAGGAGTTTGAGTGTGATGAAGACCCTACATGGAGTCCTGAAGGAATCGAAGATGCATATAAAAAACTAAAGGAAGATGATGACTCGGTGAAGACTCATCAGAACCCAAGGTACAAAGACGCAAAATTTATTGCATTTTAACATCTTAGCTCTAAGTATCCTCTGGGAAGTGATTTAGGCCTAAAACTAACTTCCATTATGAGAGGATCTATTTAGAAACAAGAGTACATGAAATTTGTTTTTTAATTTACTCAGATAAGAATTGCAAAAAAAAAAAAAAAGAAGAGGCATAGCCAGCCCATAGACTGGAAGTCCCAGGCCTAAAAATGTCTGGTTTATCCACTCAACCACTTGTAATAAATTATGCATCGTTGGGGTGGGCTAGATAGCTTAAGGGTTCAAAGTTGTCATGTGTGCAATCAACAGAATTATTATAAAAAAGCATTTTTCAGGATGTATGTGAGAGTAAAATCCCAACCCACGATTAGCCAGGTTTACAACAAGTTTAAAAACTGGCAACACCCTGAGAAAAACAATAAAAATGATAATCATTTTTTTTATTGTTATTTTATTATTTCAGATGCTATGATTAAATGAGTATTTCCTTTCAATCATTTTTTACAGGTTGGATCTACAAGGAAAAAACATTCGAGAGGAACCGAAGGGAATTGTTTTCCTTTCCAAACTTCTTCTTTTGTTTCAGTTCTGCCACTTGTGCTTCTTTTCAAAACCCAAACTTTCTGTATCACAGACAGGTACCTTGTTTACCGTAGAAAGTTTCTGCAGAAACTGTAGCCAGACAAAAGTCTGGAAGAGTCAACCAGACCTGCTAGGAAAGTTTCCAGCAGGTAACCTGCTATTAAGTTTTGCAGTGCTCTGTGAGCCGAGTGAAAAGAAAGAAACGATACATTAAAACTGTAATTAAATTCAGGCTGAATTCGATTTAATTTTTATTACTTGTGTACATGAAAATTGGAGCAACATCAGAATTCCCAGCCACTAAACTTGAGTTTAACTGAACGCTAGAAGAGCAGGGCTTCACACAGTGGGCAAGTTTGTCATTCAACAAAAAGCGAGTAAGTGGCTGAGAATTCTGAAGTTTGGCCCATAAAATTAAGTGTTTACGGACAAGTATTCAGGCAACTACTGTAGGTCCTTCTTGGCCCCAATGGCATACATGACACTCTTCAAGAACAAATAGTACATTTATTATTCATTTTCTTCATCTTCAAATCCACGATAATGGCCATTTTGACTCGGAAATTGTTTCCTGATTTTATTGTAGGCACAACAGGGCAAGGGGTATCGCCTGGAGCTACCAATATAACTCCACAGCAGTCTTGTAAATTGGCGATAGGCCACAGACCTCAGGAATCTAGTTAGAGAAATGAGATCACTGTTAATTCAAGGAGGGATTGGATGGAGATAAATAAATACTCCTTTTAAAAATAAGCAGTTGGGGCAATAAAGCCATTTAGAAAATAAAAAATGTGATTCTATGAGATCAGTCCACGGCGATAAGCTTAGATGTATCAATTATTCAATGCTATGTACGGTTCGATCGTTCCGATACAAAGTCAACAATACCCCAACTTACTCATTATCACTTTTGTTGCTTTGCCCACGAACAGTTGTGTACGACTTTCCAGCTCGCGTTTTTAGGCCCAGTGCAGCCACTTCTAATACGTGGCGGTTTAAGCAGACGCTTTCAAACCCTGGATGGAGGGTTATGCATAAGGTCCGGTCTCCAATGGCTTCTTCCATGACCTCTTCGCAGCCATCGATCTCTTTCCACAAATGCACTCCTGCGCTTTTGTAACAAGGCTGACAGAGCAGTTCGAGCACGAACACCTGCAAAATGATGTGAAAAATTCGTCAAACACAAGAAAAATACGTCTGTATAAAATTATTAATTGTCTGACCTCTTCAATAAAACTATCGTATAAAATCAGGACTACAATTAATCACATAGCAACGAAATTGTAAACTTAAACAAAAGACACAGTCGCGTTCCTCACGCGCACGATTTAACGACGAGTATGTTGAAATTGGAAAATAAAAATATAAATCTACATTCCATGATAATACCATACCATTCATTCGCTGGCACCTCTCCCACATATCTTCGCTGAAACTGTTGTTCCTCTTCTTCTTCGCGATGAACTCTTTCGTTGTAGTAGGTTGTAGTCCGCGGCTTCTTCCTCGGTAGCAAGGGGTTCGCAACTGTCGTCGTACGGCGCAAATTCAGACAATTCCCCCATCAATTCTGTAAAACTGTAAAACTTTCTAGATCACTTTCAGATGTGCAGGAAGAGGAATCCGACGGAGATGACATCTTAAACGTCTTGTTAAAAGGCTCTAAACTCACAAACTTTTCCCAAATGCGAATCTTTTGGTTGATGTTTCTACGTCACAGTGCATAAATCACGTGGTCAAACGCACGACCGCTTTGCGGAGATCTCGCGGGCTATTGCTTTGCGAACTTTGTAATGGCGGACGGTATTTACGCACTTTTCAGTGGGAAATTTCCAGCCCCCGTCCGCAAGTATCGTTCCAATTTTTCGCTATTTGTATAATTTTGAACATATACAAAAGATTTATGTTAAAAAAACTCGGAAACAAAAACAAAAATTTTCGTCGTAGTAGCACTTTAAATTATAATTTTAACAAAAAACGGAAATCCAAGATTTTGCGGACAACCATTTCAAATTTTAAATTTTATTGCTTCCTATTGCTTTTTCTCGCTGTACAAGTGTTTCCTTGTTACTAGTTCATAAGAAAGGATAACAAAGAGATAACTTTACCAATATTATTGATATTTTACGTATCTAAGTAGAAAAATAATAAGAAACATTGAAAAATCGGAATATGACGTCACTGTGACGTCATCATTGGGCGTGGCAAGTCAAAACTGGGTGTGGGGCGTCTTTGTACGGAGATGATGATTGTGTGTAAATTTCATGACCCTAGCATTATTGGTTCCAGAGATACAGAGGGGGGGGGGGGTCCGAGGAGCCCCCCCCCAAGTCACAGATTGACCAAAAAAGCCCAGTCTGAATAGGGTTAAACAATAAACTTGTATTCGAATTCCACAATTCAGTTAACTTTAGAGCACATTTATGTGACTTTTGAGGGAAAGGCTACCTGATTTTAGAGAAAAATAATTTGCAAACAGCCCAAGAGTGAACCAAGTCTTACATCGAGTTGATAGCCTCATATGTACACTCAAAAACTGGTAATCGTCTTCGATCACATTTAAGAGCCATAATGGCTCTTGATCACCGTAGATTAATTTAATAGTGGGAAAAAAAATTAGGCCAACTTTTTTGCGTTCGGCAAGTTTGCTTTGCAAAATCTTGTCAACAAATCTGGGTGCGTGTAAACCAACCTTTTATACCATTTATACATCACATCTGAGGTGAAACAGTAGTATGAGGCAATGTTTTTATCATACCGGCAGACCTCGGACAGAAAGCAGTATTTCACAATACAAATTGCTCTCATTCAATATTCATAAACTATAAAAAAAATTTCCAAAATCACCTATACGGCCATCCGGTTCTCACTTTTGTAGTGCGAGCTGTGGCGAGTGTTTGAATGAACATTAACAGAGTTACGCTCCAACATTATAAAGAATTTATTCTGTTTATTTTTTATTTAATGGTTTATTAACGCGCGGTATTTTGAGTACTCCTGCAAGCGATCATCACTGAACGACTGATGGGTCTGATGGGTCGATGGGTCGACACCTGAGCCCGCGATACGGCCAGGTGATACTGGTCAGCGGGTACCCTGTTTTGACAGCTGTCAATTGATCAAATTGATGTCCAATATGTGTGCATTATCAGTTTAACTAGTAAAAGTATGAGATCGAACATTGTTCGCGATCTGGTAAAACAATTAACTGGTCAGCGGACAGCTTCCAAATAAAATCACGTCACCTCGATGAGTTGACGCATGAGCCCGCGATATGGTCATGGGATACTGGTCAGTGGCTATCCTGTTTTGACAGCTGTGAATTGACCATATTGTGAATGTCCTAAAATCCTATATTAAAGATGTGGACTTGCCAAGACACGCCTGAGACAACACTCCCTTCCTTTTGATAGTCTCCCCTACCCCACCCGTACAATCTGTAGACGCGTAAGTACGTGCGTACGTACGTACGTACGCTCGGTCAATCACGTGACAACCAAACGAAAAGAGGTTGACCATATTCCATGAGTATAGGGCTCTGTCCCACGCGCGCTTCGCGCGCACGGGAGCCCCGCTATAAACTATAAATTTATTAATTGGAGCTTCGCTTTTATCCCTGGCGAAATCTATATATTTTAACCAAATTAACATTAACAGTGGCGCTTCGTCAAGAAACAATTTCTTTGGTACACATTATGGACTATTTTAGTTTTCTTTTTCTGTAGCAAATGCACCGGATTCAGACAGAAAGGATCTTCTTTCAGAACTTGAGTTGATGAAAAAACTGAAACCTCATCCCCACGTGATCAAGCTAATGGCATGCGTAACTGAGAGTGGTAAGAGAATAAGAATTCATTAACGAGTACTGTTACATCGTATCTCTTCTTGCATAATGTAGTTGGGAAGAGAAGAAAAAAAAGGTGGAAAGTGTTTGTGAACGTTGCTTTATGGAGACATTCTGGTTGGACTTTATGATCGCATATGTTTCTTTTCTGCTTATTACCAGTATTAGCGGGGCTCTCTCACTCGCACCGGAACACCGTGGGTAAGAAAATTTCGTAGTGACTGTAGTTACTTGACCTAGCCTGTCCATCAATCTGAACCACAGACTTACCGATGTAAAATAACTCAATCGACAGGTATGACAACCGAAATGCAACTCGAGGTTTTTTGGCGGGAAATCGTATGGCCACTCGCGTCTTGTGGAGCACAGACAATTAAACAGTCACTAGTAATGACAAAACGGAAAGGAGAAATTGTTTCTGTTTCCGTGTTGTCTAAAGTGTTAAGCTTAGATTGTCATGTCCAGAAATTTGGAATATTTGGAATATACCGATGGAAGGTAGCAACGGGGCACAATGAGGCTTCCCTGTAACGCTTAATGCCAAACTGATTCGACGTACCATCGCGAAGAGATTTCCTTAGGATGTGATTGATCTCTTGCAAGGACAAAAAGCTGAGTAGGGTTGGAAATTCGTCCAAACGGACGCTTCAAGGTATAGATTGCGGCCAGGTCTTAAATAAAGAATGGTTTGACTTAAGGTGGCTCCCTAGAGTAAATTGGCCGTGCGCAGCCTGAGCACTAGTATGGCGCGAGCCTTAAAATCCGCGCGACGTCCACGCAAAAATTAAAACAAACATGGCCTCTCAGTTTCGAAATATTCCCCCAAAAAACTTTATTAACTTTCTATTGAAACTCATTGTGCAAAAAGTTTGATTAGTGTAGGTCAAACATTTATAAGAGGAGACAATATTACACCGGTTACAAGTCACTATCGATCTCCAAAAGAGTAAATTGTATGAAAAACAAATTAAAAGCAGAAATTTTCAAAGACATCAATTCTTTCACTTCAAAGTAGACAAACGTTAAATAGTCGAAGTAAATGGACAATGTTTTTGCACAACGAGAAATAATTTTTACTCACAGATTGATCCTTGACGAGAGCAACAGTTGTCCGCCGAGACCTACGGTCTTGTACATGTAGCTGAGGACATGATGTACAATTTAGAGATATCGGCACCATCTTTTATAATTTACAGCAGACTTTTAAAGAAAAACTTCGCCGTCGAAATTATCCCTAAAGAAGAACAAGGTTGAAAAAGTATCCGGAAGTGGGCTGACATTTGAAGATCTGCAAACAGTGTACAGCAGATTAGGAAATGAAGGGCTTATTGCGATCCTTGCACAACCACCGTCTTCATCTCCGACGATCGCCATCCTCACGAGTGACCACCACGGTTCGAATTTTAGCTACAATAGTCAAGTACTTCGAAGAAAACTTCCTGTGTTAGGTACAAAATTGAATCCGCTATCTCTCCTGGCGAAAAATCACCGTAATAATACTAATAAACGGCTTCAAAACAATGGCTTTCGTACTCTTCAAAGAAACCACGTGTTTTCAGTAGCTTTGTGCATTATGCGCATGCGGGCATGATGGCTCGCGCGCGTATTT